GCAGACATAGGTAAACGCTCTCGTAGAGAGGGCACACCCCTTCCTTTTTCACTTTCAGACTCGTCTTCCCCTTCCACACCATCTGAATCTTCACCACGTGATCCAGGATCCGCCAACCTTTCTTCCTTCTGTGCGTTTTTGGACCAGCAAACCACCCCTCAGTCTCCATCCAAGTCGAGACATGTATCCAGACCTTCCCCTCCTCGAACCAGATCCCAGTCCGCTCCCAATGCTACAATTCTAACAACTACCAAACCAGTACCAATCACACCGTCGACGACCATTATATCCGCTACCAAACCGTATTATCACCAAACCAAGGACAAATCATTATGGAAACTACCTGCTCTAAAGAAATCAACCTTAATAATTGGATCATCTAACCTGAATCGAATTACCAAAACCAGTTCAGACACCGAAATACATTCTTACCCCGGTGCCCAAATCCATCACATACAGTCAATCCTGGAATCATACGACCATGATCCCAAACCTACTACCATTATTCTTCATGTAGGCCTCAACAACCGTGATCAGATACCAAAGACCTCCTTTAACCAAGCCCAGAAATTAATCGCCACAGCCAACAAAACCTTCCCAAACTCCAAGATCCTCTTCACATGTATCCCCATTTCAAATAAAATCTCGAAGAAAGCACAACAGAACCTCAGCACCCTCAACAACATGATGATGGAGTCCAGTATCAACAGCGCAACAATCTTACCACCCTACGAAGAAGAATTCGAAACAGTTGATAATCTTCATTGGCCTCCAGAAACAGCAAACAGCATTTATTTGTTTTGGATACACCAGCTTCAAGCATCGAGTAAGTCTTTAAACTAATTACTGGGGATAAAAATACTGAGAGGCCACCGCTAGGCCAAACTGTAGTTAACTTGAGCCGCAAAATTCTCACACCCCTTCAGCATTCAATCTTAGACCGTGGACTTAAGTTTATTCCCACACCAAAGATAGCTAACTTGAATTATCTCCGACCATCCATTGAACGATTTCAACGAAATCTTAGCTGTACATATTTTTTTCGAAACCACCCCCCACGTGGTGCTAGAACAAAGTTTATTCCTAAATCCACGTGGACACCCCCTCAGACCGCCATCCATCCTGAAATATTGAAAGCATTTGCTAGTATGAATAGCCAAACAGTGAACCTTTCCATAACACACGAAAAGCCTAATCTCACACGAGTGGAACGTGAAGCGTTAAACTTACTTAAGAAAGACGATAGCATTGTTATTAAAATGAGTGACAAAGGTTCATGTTGTGTCATTCTGAATAGGGAGGATTACGTTTCAGAAGCAGAGAATCAACTGAATAATCCTAAACATTATGCCATTTTACCGAAACCAATTTTCAAAGAAACTACTAACATGATTAATAATATTCTTGCCGATTTAGTCAAAACTAGTTATCTCAAACAGAAACAATATGACTATCTGTCTGCCAAACCTGATTGTCGCGAGAGACATTTGTACACTTTGCCTAAAATCCATAAGAATCCAACCAAGGAGTGGTTTATCTCGAATAAAATCCCTAAAGGCCGCCCGATTATATCTGACTGTGGTAGTGAGTCATATGCAGTGTCAGAATACATTGATCATTTCTTACTACCTCTAGCATGCCAACATCGCGCCTACCTTAAAGACACAACCGATTTTGTCAATAAAATAAAAAATCTTCTAGTTCCCTCTAATGCTATTTTAATTTCTATCGACGTTTCTTCTATGTATACCAATATCGATAACACTACTGGTTTAACGGCAGTTCGTAAAGCTTTTAATAGAAACCCAGATCCAAACAGACCCGACGATGCAATTCTACAGCTTTTAGAGATTTGTCTTAGTCGAAACGATTTCACATTTAATGGTAAAACATATTTACAAACTTCAGGGACAGCAATGGGCAAACGATTCGCCCCTTCGTACGCAAACCTTTTCATGGC